ATTCAGGGTTATACTCTTTCATTAAATGCATTACTTGAGTTTAACCATTTAATTAAAACATATTGTGTGCAATTAATATGAACTGTTTGTTTTTAATTAGCTGTTGTATAACTTCAACAATAGTATTTGTAACGGTTTAATTTTGACCATTCCATTTAATGTTCTTACTTTTTTGTTTTGCCAAGAAGGCAATAAATGGAAGAGCGTTTTTTTTCATTATTGTATTATTAAGTGTTACACTTCATTTATATGTATCTGATTATATAGCCGTTGATAATGGGAACCTCTTATTTTAAGCTAGAATATTTTATGCTTTCGTAAGTCATTTAACTGTACTGGATATTTAACTTACTGCAAACAACGTTTTTCTTTACATCACAAGAGCCTATTTTGAAGTTAAAGTAGAGGTCTTCCCCACAATACTCTTTGTAAGGAACTCCCTTGGCACAGCGGTAAAAGATATTGCAGTCTGTCTTGCATGGATAAAGACAGTGGCAGTTTTTGTCTGGACAGTAAATTTCATCTGTGGGTTCGCCAAGTTGGTAATCTGATGTCTCCAACAACCGTTGAGAACCTGCATATATAATAATTAACAACAACGTGGAAATATGAATGATTTCATAAGATAGCTGTATTAGATAATAAAATCTGAACAGGGTCACTGATCGTATGAGAAATAACTTGGTTTTGTTTTTCTTTATATTTAGCGACACACACGAATAAAAATCACAAATTTGATCTTTTATTTTTATGTTCTTTAGCTTAAACGGTCACTCAAGATATTTACTTTTAATCTTTGGTCAGCTATGATTCCTCAACCTCTCATTGAATTATATCATTTTTCATTCTTATCACGGTCATAAGTGGACAATTAATTTGTTGGAGGTATCTGAGGGTATAAATGTTAAACAACAAACGTAAAAATTAAAATGAAAGAAACATGCTCAGTATTAACACATTCAGACAGAGTTCTCTACAGATAATAACACATTTAGAGATATCTCTCTACAGATATAACACATTAAGAGAGAGTTTTCTACAGATATAACACATTGAGAGAGAGTTCTCTACAGATAATAACACATTAAGAGAGAGAGTTCTACACACATAACACATTCAGACAGAGTTCTCTACAGATATAACACAATAAGAGAGAATTCTCTACAGATATAACACATTAAGAGAGAGTTTTCTACAGCTTTAAAACGTTAAGAGAAAGTTCTCTGCAATATTAACACATTGAGAGAGTATTCTCTAGAGCATTAGCACACTAAGAGAGAGTTCTCTACAGCATTTACACACTAGAGTCAATATTTCAGTAATCACATTCACAAGAATTAATGAAGCAAGAATTTTTTTTTTTGCAACACGCTAATATCAATTTATAAATTTCATTTGCTTGTTAAAATAAGATTCATATTGTTAGGTGGAGATAATCTGTAATAGAAACCCCAATGCCTTCATATTTTTCTCTTTAATTTAATAGAAACGATATGCTCTTTAAACTAATTCAAGTTGTTATATATAATCACTCATTTCTGGCGTGAAATGTTTTTATACCTTGTTTACATCCAGCAAATGCAGGCCAATCACACATCCTTGTCATGCGACTGAAATGAAGACCGGAAGGGCACGCTTTTAGTTTGGCATTCCCATTTTTACATTCATAGTAAATGTGGCATTCCGATATTGCATAGTACCCATCCTCCCTTGGGCAGACAAAGTCCTCTACGTCATTGGCTAGAAAGCTACCAAGGGTACCTACAGGTTAAAAAGACAGTTAATACAGTGTTGATTATATTGATCTATAAAATGAGGATAGCAAACTGAACCATTATATTTTCATATTATTATTAGTCTTTGTTGATATGTTTCACCTTCAGGACATGACAGTTTATGATATGTATAATTCCTAAGCCTTCGAAATACACAAAATATTTTCACTATGAGAGGGAGGACACTATAGTTTAAATCTAATATGTTGTAAATTAGTTTTACGTTGTTACTAAATAAATATAAAAGCATGATCATGTATATTAACCTCCTGAAAACAATAATTTAAAGTAAATAATCAAGTTCCAAGGATGAATCACCTCAAGGAAAGACACTATAGTATAGATCTATTATATTGTAAATTAATTTGACGTTGTTGCTAAATACATATAAAAGCAGGATCACTTATAATCACCTCCTGAGAACAATAATTTAAAGTAAATAATAAAATTTCAATTCAAAGGTATTTATACCAGATTAACAATGGAATGATTATAGTTAGTATTATTATTATTCCATTCCAAGCATAGTTCTAGATAAGTTCAGTCTTTATTAAGATATTTACAAACTGAAATATGCACAATCAGTGAGTGAAATGATAAGTATTGTTAAGAATTCTCGATTTTTACATATATTAAAGATATAATATCCTAGCACGTATTAAGCAAGTAAACAGAGAACTAACCAGCATAGTGGCAACCCAGGATCGCTGCCCAAAGCAGCATCATATTCTTCATGTTTCTGAAGTTATTTTACTGGCTATAGTATTACAGAAGTCTTGTTCTTTGGATATTGTAAGGGCCAAGAAACTGTTTGTTAATCAGTGAAGAACACAGTGTGAAGGTTATTCTTATATAGCAAACTGAAGCAAGTTTTTAGGGCAAGTTCTTTATCTATTTCGAATTAGTAGTGAAACTGACGTAGAACACAATAATTGACATTTACATATAGGAGTCGATTCGGTGATGTGGCTTATCAAGAGGGTGGTGGATTTGCTGATTAGGTGAATATTAGTTTCAACATATATAACTACGTCAATCAACCGCTTGCTTCTGTTTATTCGCAAAAATGCTGCCATGTTTGTTCTGTTTGCAGTAGTTTAGCATACAAACCTTTCAACATTTCCATAATCAAAGAATTGCGAAATATACTTAATCAATGTTGGCCTTCAGCAGAACAGAAACAGTAGTTAGTTAACGTCATATAAAAAAAAAGAACAAATAATGTTTATGCTTATGCAATTGTTAAATATCATATCACTAAAATATGTCATATTTCATTAAATGTAAATGTTAACAGTTCAAGAGGAATCAAACAAAATCTAACTCAAATTCTTACACAACAAGAGCTTCTGGTTTGGTTTGAATTTCACCCAAAGCTAATGCGCATTTAAACAGTAGGTGCGCGCGCATTTTCAGGACAGACATAAACTGAGTGCTATTATAATAGAGAAAACGTGCATTATGGAAACAGCTTATACAACTTAATGTTTTAGGCATGAAATATGTGCATGCAAGAAGAATCCCTGTACATAAAAGTATTTTAAGCATATGAAGTATGTATGTTATTATATAAAAATACTAAACCTATAATAATAATAAAAGGGCATATATGTGAGGCTGTTTGTATGTGTGTGTGTACCTGGCCATGCCGGGCCGCAAACTGTTGTAAAGCAAAACGTGGAGGATGAGTTAATTGTATTTGAAATAACAAGTGCTGTTTTAGCTGGATGAATGAATAGGTATAAGGAAACGTTTTCTCAATTGTATTGGTTTCCAAGATTAATGTTCTCACAAATATTAATTACTTATTGACAAGTGCTATTTTAGCTGGATGAATGAATAGGTATAAGGAAACGTTTTCTCAATTGTATTGTTTTCCAAGATTAATGTTCTCACAAATATTAATTACTTATTGTAAAAAGACAAAAATTAATATTTTTCTTATAGATGTATATATATATATAAGAAAACACAAATTTTTGTTGCATTCACATAATAACTGGAATCAATTTCTATGTAACATAACCATTTCTAAATACCTTACAAAGTGTACGCTAGTTAAATGTGTTCAGGTGTTTAAATACCGTAGGTTCTCAAGCTTATAGTGTATACTTAAATCGACCCAATAATTAACATAACCATTTCTAAATACCTTACAAAGTGTATGCTAGTTAAATGTGTTCAGGTGTTTAAATACTGTAGGTTCTCAAGCTTATAGTGTATACTTAAATCGACCCAATAATTAACATAACCATTTCTAAATACTTTACAAAGTGTACACTAGTTAAATGTGTTCAGTTATTTGAATACTGTAGGTTCTCAAGCTTATAGTGTATACTTAAATCGACCCAATAATTAACATAACCATTTCTAAATACTTTACAAAGTGTACACTAGTTAAATGTGTTCAGTTATTTAAATACTGTAGGTTCTCAAGCTTATAGTGTATACTTAAATCGACCCAATAATTATTAATAAAAATAAAATACTCAAATTAATATCTATTGCTCTAATTAAACCAGTTCCTTTTTTTTGCTATTTCATCATTGTAAGGTACAATAATATAAAACTATAACAAGAAATATTCGTCCTACACTTGATGATAAAACACAAATGTAAGAACTCATATTCTGATGTTTCTGACATGTGTAGAGCACCCTTATCTTTTTCTTTTTTTGCTATCAGAATGGCTTCTCAAATCATAATCGATAGAATGCTGTGTGGAACGTGACTGTGAATACGACTGTAAACTTAAAACACAAACACAAGGATAAGAGCTATGTGTTCATAACACAGCTTTCACACTTTTCTCCTCTAACTCCTTTTCCTTTTAACACCCTAAAGCAACCTAACTTTTCCTTCTGGCCTTTGGGAACATATAAAGAATAGTTCCAAGTTTGATTTTGAAAGGTTTTATGGCCAAGAAAAACGGAAGTGGTATTTGAACTTCCGCAAATATACAAATTAATCATTCAAAAAAATAACCAGTTTCTCAAAACAAACAAAAAAGGATGACTGTGAAGTGACTGTATGATAAAATCACAATGATATTCTTAAGGCATTACCAAAAGACGACTGCTGTGAAGTGACTGTATGATAACATTACAAAGATAATCTTCGTGTACTGCCCTATATACACACACACACACATATATATATATATAACGAGAACTCAAAACCAGAAAACAGCTGATTCCAGAAAAGAACGTGTTATACGACACTTACCTCTAACAATTAGTCTTCCCGAGGTGGCGCTAGTGAGCACTTCTCCGACAAGCCGGTGTCTTGCTTGACAAGAGTATTCGCGATAAGAATAGCTCGTGTCAACACTTCTGACGTGTAGTTCACCAGTAGGAAACATGACGTACCGTCCACTGGCGCCTAGACATCGAATATAAAAACGGTAATTAAACACTATTGTTATGATGTATTGTCAACTAAGGTCTACAGAGTCAGCAAAAGGGAGAACATTAAACACCTAATACTAGTAGTGACTTTACGAACTGTCAGTTGGGAGGGGGCCTGAAAAATCAGTAGAAATATGTTAGATTCTACTGTCTTGATATAGTTCTTACTAAAGCTTAGAGAAAGATCCAGATTAAACAAATAATTTGACAGAGATATGATGTAATGTTAATTGGGATATAAACAACTACATTTATTAGGAAGAATATAATTAACAATAACGACATTACGCAGTTGTCAGATGGGTCTAAAACGAACAAAAAAGAACGTACTTTAACACACTGTTGTATCACGACTTAGTGTTAACTATGATTTAGAGATATCAGATGAGGAGAGAACAAGTCGGAAAAAGAACTGTTGTACTGTATGATGCACGGTTTCAACTTAACTAGGGCTTAGGGAAGTAGAAAAGGAGCCAGACACTAACTTCACAATTACATTTTCATTATAGCCATCATAAATCAGAGTAGGAAGAAAGTACTTAAGACACTCGTAGAGAAGAATTAAATACACACTAGTGTCAACGTGGGTATAGAAACGTAGTAGAGGGCAGTTAAACGTTGGTGACATTATTCAAATATATAGCTTTCAAAATCATGATCTGTTTTTAGTCTATCTATCATTCGATTCACCAAAACTGAGCAAACGTTACCATGCATGAGTGAGAGAAGGACATATCAATACAGCCTGACATTGTTTGAAGATTAACTGATGTTTCTAAGGTTTCCAACATTATATGGTGGATACGTAAACTTTAACTTATTGTCTCGCGAAACTGAACAAACGTTACCATGCACGAGTGAGAAAAGGACATATCAAAACTTATTGTCTCACGATAAGTAAACTTTAACTTATTGTCGTTTCTTCACTGAAAACGATAATTGATAAAACTATACTGCAGCTTAGATATAATTATGAATCCTTAACGAAAGACAATTACCTTACAATTCCGGAGAAAGTAAAGTGTTTCTAATGTGCCTGTGAATCTATGTTTAAGACAGATTTTAGACTATCTTTTTTTTCTCTTCATCCAGTGGCGTAGAAAGCGGGGAATCCGAGCCCCCACTTTTCAATTTTTTCCAGTAAAATTATATCAACATTAGGAAAATTGCTCTCAGGGAAAGGAGGGTAATGCATAAAATGTAAAGCTTCCAGGGCCTTAAGGTAACCCCTGGACCCTGGACGTAATGAATGTGCCTGAGGTGTACATTCCCTCCCTAACAATACGAAGAATTAAATTGTGGCGAAATGCTACAAGTTCTTCAAATACCTATAGATTGATAGGTTTATTTTTTGTGAGTGTAAAACACATAAATACACCACCAGTTCGATTCCCTGCCTTCGCTCGGTGAATTAAACCTTGCCTCCACTTTTGATTTGCCTCATTCACCTCTGTTATCTGTAAAACATATAATTTTAATCCTTCCCTGCTGTAAATCGTTAGGAAAACTTAATAACATTAATCACGTTAAATTTAGTTTGTACTTAATTTTTATTTTGGTTAGGTCGAAGTTAATTTCCACTAAAATTCTTGTTTGCTGTTTTTGTGAGCTACGTTAAAGCGAATAGACAGCACATACCTCTCTCAGGAACCCACCCCTATCATTATGAAATAACCTTTTTAACACTCTTACTGACAAAGTTTTGCTTATAAAATTAATGTATTACACATAAGGATGTAGTTTTATAACTGTCACTAATATATAGAGGTTTCAAGAGCTAAAATGAGATCAGAGGGAGTATTATTGTAATGATATAAATTCGTATCGTTACCAGAACGTCAAACTTCTACGAAAACATATAAATTCGTATCGTTACCAGAATGTCAAACGTCTACGAAAACATATAAATTCGTATCATTACCAGAAGTCAAACGTCTACGAAAACATAAATTCGTATAGTTACCAGAACGTCAAACTTCTACGAAAACATAAATTCTTATCATCACCAGAACGTCAAACTTCTACGAAAACATAAATTCTTATCATCACCAGAACGTCAAACTTCTAAGAAAACATAAATTCTTATCTTTACCAGAACGTCAAACTTCTACGAAAACATATAAATTCGTATCGTTACCAGAACGTTAAACTTCTACGAAAACACATAAAACGTATCAAAGTATGAGGATAGGCTTCACTGTAAAATCATATAAAACGGGTCACAGTATTATATAAATAATACGCCCAGACATATAATATAAAAGCTATGTTTTGAACAGGAAAAGTTCCCCAGGTTTGAATTTGGAATTAATATTAAACCAGAAACAAACCTGAGCACAATCACTCACTTTGCGGCCTGACAGTTTGGCTTCATCGCGTGAGTTAGACACATTAGTCTACTAATCAAACGCTATTACGGAACCTTTCAGGCCTTAGTAAAGAATGTACCAAACCAAAGAACTCGGAGCAAAGAACTTTCATTTCTGGTAATTTATAGCCTTCGACAAATCAACTTTAAACTAGAAAGATGAAGTTTATCAAAAGGCGTGTTTTCCACGCAGTATGTAGACAGAATGTTTTAAACTGATGATTTATTCAAAAAGGCTTCTGGGTTTACTGTATCCATCGCACAATATACGACTACCTATACTAAAAAAAGACAACTGTAGCGTACTCTCTCTTTCTCTCTCTCTTTGTGCATGCTTCAATTTGTGACCATGACAACAGAATTGTAGAACGTAGCGACTGTGAACGGCCTTTATTTTTAGATATTTTATGAACGCCGTGTTTGAGTTTATTATAAGCTTTATTTAAATAATTCAGACAACTTTCATGAATAATTAAGTAAGGAGAACTTGAAAAAATTCTGTATTTCAGTATAAAAAATAATACAGAACATACAGATTGTGTTTGGTCCAATTAAAATAGAAACAATCGTATTTACTGTTTAAATGTAAATAACCAACAGTTAAGAGCTTATTGTAAATCAGTAATGTTAGGGATGTAGAAGTGGGCTGCCTATTCCACTAATTTGAGCCGAAACACACAAACCGAGCATCAGATCCAAAGATACCCGTGCTACTAGCGACATTAAACGCCATTTTTGTTTCGTCAAGTCGACTCACGTATTTGGCTACCGACCTTCCCTTTCGTGGAATTATGGCGGTTAAATTGAAATGGCTGCCAAAACTGAATTGTTTGTGTCTTTGTTTATACATTAAAACTCAATCTTTGGGAGGTGTACTTCTGAACTTTTCTAAGATATTTCATTAAAAGTGATTTAACTGGTTCTTTACAACAACTTGTGACACAAGGCGTAAATAAAAATGACCGATTCTTCTTTAAATATATTAGGAACGATTTAAAAAAGATAAAAGACAAAACAAAACTAAAATTTCGTTGTGTTTTGATATTTTTATCCACATGTTGAAACTTATATTCGTTTTAGTTATATATAAACAATGCATCAAAAGAAACGAGATTAGTAATATTAGTATTATAATATAATGATAAACAAATTAATTCGTATATCTAGGAATGATGACTTTACAGTTTTAAGTTGTAGCCCATCTGTTGATCAACATAGAGTATCACAATCCAATGTCTGCGTTCGTCATATCGTTTAGCCATGATCCTGAAAATAATTAGATTTGACAACTACGTCACAACACGTAAGACATGTTCTGACACACTTGACAGGCGTAGCCTGATTATTTGGTTTCTGGAACTCATGAGTCGAATAGCACTTTCTGTTACAATCTACTTAGCTTTGCAACGAAGATAACTAAACTGATAAAATATAGTTCTTCATAACCATTCATTGAAACTGTAGCGACTTACATTAAGATTGTAGCTAGAACCTATGACGAAAGCAGCTTCCTTCGAAGCTGGATATTTAAGAGACTGAAGCAGCAGTTTCATTAAAATGACGAGGTTGTGAATTTGTAATTTAAAACGCAGTATATCAAAACATCAAGCAAACTTAATATCAACGACAGAATTGTAGTTTGTTTTAGAAATGTGGGCTATATCAGACTCAAACTATAATCATCTGAAAGAATGTAAAGTAATGCTTAGAAAATAATTACAATAAAAATAAATATTTACCCATCACACTTGAAGGTTGGATAACGGTTCCAGTTGGTTTCTCAGTCCATGATGTTACTGTGACGAAGTCTTTCACATGCTCAGGTATATGACAGTATAAAACTGCTGTGCTCCCAGCGTTAACAAACTTGTCATACACTTCGATTGTATAATGTTGATTAACAACTGTTGAAGTTAAAGAAAAAATATCAATAAAGGTGGTACAATGTACAAAATATTAAAAAATCCTCAATGTTTATACTTTTAAAGAGATTAACAATAATTCATTAAATTTAGCAGACCATCTAAAGGATGTGTTAATTAGCGTGATATGTCATGGCCATCTAACTGGAAAGTACGATGTATTGGACCTTTTGGAGCACCTGTTCCCAAACGTTTTTCAGGGCCGACTCACCTTGAGGTATCTCGAATCTTCGCGAACCAGTCTGTTCAAAACGTAGTTCAGTCAAGATATGGTTTTATTTATCCGCCAAACTTGCAACCCTAGGTTTGGAAATCACTGCTTTAGAGGGTAAGAGAAGGCTATCCAGTGACCCTTTTGAAGTAGTAAGGGACTTTTTTAAAAAGGGAAACACCTTATTGTAAGCAATGGATTCTTTTGAAGTCATGGTTCTACATCAAATGAAGTTTTGGATGGTGAACCTTAATTTTATTTGATTGTTTAAAAAGTATAGTAATAGTATTTTGTAGAAGATTTAGAGGACATTGTGTTGCCATCTATTGGACACTTTAAGATGACACAGTATTGCCATCTAGTGGACTTTTAAAATAAATTAGCACCGCCATATTACTGGAATATCTAGAAGACATAGTTTTGGTATTTAGTGGCCTCTTTGAGAAGACATAACACTATCGAGAAATACAGTTTGGGACTTTCTTCAAAAGGTATGGTGCTCTCCCCTGGTTGCCATATGAAAGATCGCTGTCTTTGTGAAAGATTATCAAAGTTTGTATTGTCATATCTGATAGCTTTTCGACTTTTATCCATTAAATAATCACTAGATGACAATAGTGCATTGCCTAAATGTGCATCAGGATGACAATGCTGCATGAGCTATACATTTCACTGGAATGCAAGAATCCTAACATTTAACAATGGTCACTGAATGGCTCTTCCATGGGACTATTAGATGGTACTATTAGTTTTTGTAGACATTGTAACAATTGGTTATAAACACTTACAGTTTTATATACGTTTTGCATGTTACTGAAACCATAAGGTTAGTCACCACGTCATATTACTGTTAGATCAAATTTGTAACTGTGTTTTATATGTATTTACAGGGGTTGGAGAAAATATTAGAAACATTTTATGGGAGAGGTTTACTAATGTATAGATCTACCTTTAGCCGTTAGAATTTATAGTAGGGTATTTGCAAATTCATTAAAGACATGCAAAGGAATACGATTTCATTACTCGAGGATATAATTTGACGTAAAGCAACTTTTAAATCAACCCGATGAGACTTATGGGATAATCGTGATGCTGTAATATCCAGTTCCTCTTGCAGAGCCAGGATGTTGTTCGATCTGGACCAGTAAAGTGCCTACTAATCGGGCTTCTACAATCTGCCTTCTTTGTAAGGACATTTAAGTCACATATCTTTTGCAGGTTACTTGACAACCAACGTGAAATAGTGCTTACACACATTTAAATAACACAGGTCTCTTGGAATAACGAGTTAATCAGTCAACCTTATGTCTCATCCATTTATCATCTGTAGAAACATGATCACATCTTTAAGTAGTCTGTTTTATTCAAACCCTGTTTGATCATATATATATATATAACTATTGAAGTTACTATGGAGTTAAACATTTTTCCAGTTTGGTATTATATTGTTTAATTTGCTGTCAAATGTTCTTTTAAGGTGTTAATAGTGGTTGTGACTGTAATCTGAAACCGAACACTCGAGGATTAGTCATTTGTTTCTTTCTTCATTTCTCTAACGTTTTGTAAATTGTGATTTTCGTTTGGAAAGTTGTAGGCTGTATCACTCATATTTCCTGGTAATTTAAAGATTAATTTATTTTTAACTTATATTCCTTATGTGAGGTAAGGAAGTTGAATTAAAATGTGACAGACGACGTATTCCACTATACTGTTTAATGCTTTCAACCTCTCTTGCTTTGTAGCGTACTCTGTGAATATATTTAACTATCGTGTGTTTACGACGCTCTGGTTTGAATTTTTATCCTAGTTACATTGAAGCTGATATTGCTGTATTTAGCATGTTGATTTTATAATTATCATAATAGTTTCTATTATAATACATAAGTTCGGCTATATTAAACACATAGCATGTTTCAAGATCAGAATAAACTATGTTTTCAAGTTTTTAAAATCTAAAATCTTTGCACATTAAGAACTGGTTTGTTGTAATAAATAGTGTTATTAACTTAAGATGTTGTTTGTTTGTTTCCAATTAGAAACTTTAAACGAACTAATATTACGGAATCTAATGCATAGGAAATGCCACAGAAATCTAGAGAAACCCATCGAAGAATGCGCCTGCACATATAACACTAAGCCCATTAAGCCATCTCTTTGGCTTCTAGCCAAGTTCTGGGCATCTCTTGGTGAATCTGCGACCATCAACAAATCAAATTTAACCAATCACTGTTCCGCTTTTATAGCTGTCTTGATGGAAACTTATATAACCATAAGATTTATAATACGAAATCTGAATATCTCCGAAGTTTTCAAATAGAAGGAGACGGGATCAAAGGAAGCTTATGACGATCACAAGCGATGCTTTGAATACAATTGAGCCTAAGCTTCAACTTTATAAACCAGAATAAATATCCGCAAAACATAAGGAATTAGAAGTCAAAGATGTTTTACGTCACGTCTTACACAATACGTTTACAAGACAGAAATAGTTACTTGTGATCTTACACTGTATCCTGGTTAACTTAAAATAAAGATATATTCTATACTGTATCATGCAGCAAACTCTGTTTATCTTACTTCTCCTGTTACTCAGTATTCTCTTTAACATCTCCCCAAAAAGGGAAAAAAAACTAAAAACACATTTAACACTTGATATTACAGAGCACTCTCCTTAAAATACAAAAGGTTTTTTTTTACTGATTTCATATAATATTTTGTTAAGCTTATAATATAGTGATATCTTATTTCTGTTATTTTCAGTTTATGATTTTTTAACTTACTAATCTTAAGTAGTTATTTAATATACATAAAATAAATATAAATTCTTTACCCTTATTTTCACATTTAGCCTCAGCCTTTACAGCATACTTGATTTTACTCATAATACTGAAAAAAACATTCTTCAGATATTTAATAGTATTTAAGGAAATTAGAATACAAAAGACATAAATAGTTTCGTTTTGAATTTACTTACATATTATAAGTATTATTTTATTACAAGCTTTAACAGTAAGGAAGAATATTCTTAAAATGGTTACGACGTTTTGATTACTGGTGCGATCATTTTCAAGTAAACAAATTATAACGGTGAAAGTTTCTGTATTTAAATATTAAAACCTTCTTTACCGTTAAAACTTGTGTACTTGAGAATAATTACACCAGTGGTCGAAACGTCGTAATTGTTCTAAAAATACCCTTTCTTACTGTTAAAGCTGTACCTTGTAATAAAACAATAAAAATGATATACAGTCTAACCATTGTCAGTTTTGTATTTAAGCTACAATATAGAATCAGTTTACCTCGGAAATTGCAAAATAGTCTGTTTATTTAGCTTCAAAAAGAAACTTTAACATTTGGTTTTTAGCATATTTTATACAGCTTACAATATAGGAGTATTTGCAACCGTTCCCTCCCCTGTGGCTTAGTGATACATTTGAGGGCTCGTAACGCTTAAATTCAGAGTTAGATCTCTGTCTGCAGTGCGACAGAGAGCAGAAAGCCTATTATGTAGCTTTGTGTTTAAAAACAAACGAACGAACATAGTCTGTATTTTGTTGAAATGTCAGTGAAAAGATATTTTATCCTTTGGTATACATCACTTTGGGCCTTAGACAGTATTTTTTTATTTGAAAACACAGACTTTTGCACATTATCTTTTACAGTATTATATTTACTTACAGGGCAAAAATACTAGTTTTACGCAGTATTTTAACTGAGATACGATACAGAGTATATTTTATAACTAACAATATAGAAATCTTTAACGATTGGCCTTACACAGTAATCTATTTAATAGAGAAACGTTGTATTCATTTTTTCTTATTTAACCTGACGTCTTATTGATACATCTTTTTATAGAAACGTTTAACTTCTTGTTTTCATCTTTATTTTATTTAAGTTAGAAACATTTTGGTTTATTCCGTATCTTTACCAATAGTTCATTCAACTTATGATATAAATATTATCGCTAGCCCCACACAACATTCTTTTAACTTACAACACAGAAACATTTTATTTCTGTTTATATATTTTACATTAAAGGATCATTTTTCTCATGTTACACAGAATAATAGTATGATTTAACATGCAACATAGGACGTATAGGTTACACTAAAGGAGCATTTCCCCTTGGGTTACCCAGAGTAATATGAGTTAACATGCAACACAGAAACAATTTTTTCTTCATGTCTTACCGCTTCTTTCAAATTACTTAGAATACAGAAGTATTTTACTTTGGGTCCTCCACACTTTTTATTTCATTTAAAACACAAAAACATTTATTTCTATTCTTATATATTATTCCAATTTAAAATGCAAAAGCATTTCCTCCTTGTCTTATAGCTTATTACAAATTAAAGCACATAAACATTTACATTTTATCCAATAGCTTATTCCAAGTAAAAAAACAAAAACATTTCATTGCTCTCTTACAGCTTATTCCAAATAAAAACACAGCAAAAGTTTCTTTTCTGTTTTATATATTATTACAATTGAAACACAGAATTATTCTTTATTTGTTTTTTAGGTTATTCCAAGTTAAATCACAGAAACATCTCCTTTAGGTCTTATAGCTTATTCCAAGCTAAATCACAATAACACTTCCTTTAGGTCTTATAGCTTATTCCAAGTTAAATCGCAGAAACATCTCCTTTATGTCTTATAGCTTATTCCAAGCTAAATCACAATAACACTTCCTTTAGGTCTTATAGCTTATTCCAAGTTAAATCGCAGAAACATCTCCTTTAGGTCTTATAGCTTATTCCAAGCTAAA